TCATTTCCTGCCTTCCAAGGCTGAGGGAACAAAGGGATAGGATGAGTACACGGTCAGTGGAATAAGGGAAAAGTGCATATGGAGGGTGAGTAGATCAGAGGGAGCTGCAGCAGCCCCTTGTGCACTTGTTGGTTTCTTCACAGCCGAGCAGGCAAAAAGGGCAGAATGGGAGGGCAGGTGTAAAAAATCTGTTTGGTTTTAAAAATTATTCATCAAAAATATTAACTAAATGGAACTAAATGCAATTTTTTAAAAAATGTATCACTTAAAATTTGTGAAAAATTTAGAGCACAATACAAAAGAACTATACAGGCAATTAATGATAAATTTATGGTTTATTGGAGGAATGGGATAAGTGAACAGACATGCAGAGAATGTGTGGTGGGAACAGTTAAGCAGATTATTTACAAAAGGGTACAATAAATTTAGGAAGCACTGTAAGAAATAAAACCATGGAAATAAAACTTGTGTAGGGTACTGTACAATTTTCCGTTAAAAAGGAATTGATATCCAAAGTTTCTCTAATATCACAACAAAGTGGGCGGACAAATAATATAGGGATTGGGAAACTATCAAACCATCTTTTTCCAATAGGATTCCATATAATTTTACTATTTATATAAATCTAAACATTTCCCACCAGTATAGATGAAATTCTGTTACAGTATTTAGCAAATTCTCCAAATTTCACTTCTCAAAAAAAAAAGCAAAAAAAAAAAAAATTGAGAAATGCACAAACCATAAACAAAGACTATTTTTTCTTGAGGATTACAATACTACAGAACTTTAAGAGTTACTAATTATGAACAGAGTTAAGATAAAAACGTGCAGTTTAATGATGTTTAGTTTAATCACTTTCTGTATTTTTTACACAACATTTACCAATATTCACAACTTCTACATTTGTAAATTTTGAGAGCTCAGAATTTTTATTAATGTCTTATGATTAAAAAAAAATGTGCAGTTATCATCGATCATTTATGTGTCCCCCGTCCAGAGCAAGAGAAGTGAAAAAAAACATTTAAGCCCTTTCTGTCTGACTATTTGTTACTCTTTTATAGCTTCTTCTGTTTATATGTATACCATACTGTAATAAAGTACAGTACACCATTACATTCACATTACATATTGCAAATACATAAAACAGTTCACTTTTAGTTACAAAAATATTTAACTGCTTCTGTTATATAGTTGGACATTCAATATGTAACTGATTCCCATTACATAACGTGTTTAAAATCTGGGATATAATTACGGTAGTGTTATGCTATATGTAAATGGCCACAAATTCATTTACCATACCTTTTAATTGTTAAGCACCACTTATTATATTTTCCACTACCTTTAAATTCTGCCATCAAAAATTATTAGTACAATATATTGTTGAGTTACAATTTTAGAAAATATTATTAATGATATTTATCAAACTTCAACAACATTTTCACTGGCATTTATTAATCCTCACTACTGTTTCGATGAACAGACTTTATGGTTTAATTTAAATTTAATAATATTTCTTCACTGTTTTGTAACAAAGCATATTTATAAAATGTTAAAGAGTTTCCTGTGATAATCTCCACCTACCAACACTGGGATGACAAAAGTAAATCACCCTGTAAAAAAAGTAATGAAAAAATAATGTATTAAACATGAAATCTTAAGATTAAAACATACACACTATTTAGCATAGTCAGTACGTGTATGCCTAACATAACTCAACTAGGTTAATTCACTTATATCTAGCCCTGTAACTAGGTCATTTGTACTATGCATAGGCTAACACGACAAATAGAAACTCTGGTTCTTACCTGGAACATCCTATGTAAGGCCTAAGGATTATTAGTTACACTCCACACTACACAAATGGCCAGAACTCTGGACATGGCTGCTGTAGATGGGCCATTAATATTTGTGCTATTAATAATATAAACAGGGTTTAACACACCACATCACAAGGCAAGACAAGACACACAAGAAACTCTTCACAATCACTTCTTAACAATGGTTTATTATTTTTCTTAACAAAACTTACATCACAGTTGAAAAAGGAAACAGCACAAATGGTATGGACACAGTGAACAAATGTTCAGATCAAGATACATAGTAGCAATATTCAGTTAAAAATATTTTGATGTCACTTGTATATTGCAGTTCTACACAAATTGAACTGAGTAGTCATTGGCTGGAGGATGTAGCTTTGACATGTATATGGACAATAACACAAGCAAGCAGACCAAGCCTTTCTTTTTGAGAAACTTTTTTGGCTCTAATTAGAGAACAATAAAATCATAATACCACGACCGGAACCTATCACAAATAACCCACACCTGGGAGAGCAAACTTATGATGATGTTTCAGACTTGGACCACTATCAAGTTGTGGCTTGACAATGGTCCAAGTGAACTGAAATGTCATCATAAGTTTCCTCTCTAAATAGAACTTAATCATGTCTTGCAAAAGCTTTACCTAGAGCAAAACCTTCCCAAATAAAGGCTTGTTCTAGGTGAAAGATTGTGTTAAATACTGACAAGTATGTAAGACACATGTAGTACTGTATTAGGATATTTTTTGAGATGTTTCCTTCATATTGGAGCAAGGGGCTAGTAACCCCTTCTCCTGTATACATTACTAAAGTTAAAAAGAGAAACTTTTTGTTTTTCTTTTTTGAAAGAAGAAGCTTCCTTCATATGAGCTTTATCATTAAGCTCCTGTGAACAAAACGTCTCCTCAATAATTACACTAATACAGATAATCCTTAATTTAATGGACCTCTGTTTAACGGATTTCAGAAATACAGGACAAAATCCGCTGGGTCAAATGATTCAGAAACAATACACAATCTCCATTGGTTGCAGAACTGTCTGGTATTGTTATGATCAAGGCAAAAACAACCTTGTGTGTATCCACAACAATCACCATTACAGGCCCTCAACTGCCCCTCAATTTGTTTGTTAGAGAGTTTACTTCATATGCATCTTAATAGGCTTGTTCTGTGTACTTATGTCTTTACCCATAAATATAGTTATCATCATCAAGATAATTTTAAAGACAACTTTTTCTGCATTATTTAAAAAAAGTAATATTCTGATGGCAAAAGTTTCAATTAAATGGTACTTTTACTAAGAAAATTCCTTTTGTTCACATGCATCTTTCCATTGATCGAGTTCTAAAAACTGGTAGTAAAATGTTAAATACATGAAACAGGAATTGCATGACAGTTAGTTTGAGTGACAACACATGTTTTTTACTAGTGATGGAAACCTCCATAACAGCTGCCATAATTATATCAGTGTAATGAACAACATTAGTTTTCAAGTGCACCTTGCAAGGTAGCTCCAAGGAATTAGATTAATATTACCATGTTCATGGGTAAACAATACACCCATATGGCTCATACAGTGACTGGAGAATGAAAAGCAATCAAGTTTAATTTGAGAATGGGAAGGGAAGCTCAAATGCTTTGGAAAAAATGCTTACACTAGCATTAATATACCCACTTTTGAAGGGTCCAAGGTATTGGAGCTATATTCCCCTTCTGTTTTTTTTTTTCTTTAACACCCTGGCTGTCTTCCCACTGAAGCAGGGTGACCCAAAAAAGAAGAAACACTTTCATAAAGTTTTTCTTCTTTTTTACATTTAGTAATATATAAAGGAGAAAGGGTTACTAGCACCTTGCTTCCAGCATTTTAGTCGCCTCTTATGACACGCATGGCTTACAGAGGAAGGATTCTTCTCCACTTCTCTGTATCAAAGCTAGTTACCTCCCATTCCCCAGTTAATGTATGACCTATACAAGTTCGCCACATCCCCATGAACATTATAATAAATGGCAGACTAATCTTAATTACTGTTTTTATGAATGGTACAGACAATGACTCTGATGTATGTGATTACACAAAGATGATAACATCTCTCATGATCACTACAAGGTTATAACAATCAAGAATTCTATTTCTTATAACTAATTCAAGTAAAAACATCTAGCTACACTGGATGAAAAAAATTGATTCTCACATGACAAGATAATACTGTATAACTTATGAGGTTCAGTGAGTAAACATAGTAAGTTATACTTTAATATCTTGCTAGTTGTTCTATAATATTATAAATGCCATAAAAATGGGGAAAAATATGATTTCTTTCCTTAAAAAAAGTTTATGAATAAAAGTGAATTAAAGATAATGAGTACAATGAGGTAAACATAAAATAATACTCACATCAGTTTTGTTGGTGTGAGTCGTGGGAGAATAGCAGAAAGGTCATGGAAAGGTAGAGGGAGGTGACAAGCAGGAAAATACCAGTCGAGGGAGGGAAAGTACAGCTTAAGATTACAAAGAGTCGCACTTCCTCTTCACTTGGTTGGGCCAATGTTGGTTGTCCTTGGTGGTGACATGTCCTTAGTTGTAGGTGATGATGATAATAATAAAGATTGTTGGTAGTAAAGCTCACAGGTATCAATGGTAGCCTTTGTTCCATTCATGGCCAGAAAGTTTTACAACAGAGGTAGAGGAAATAGTGATGGTGGGCAGGGATAATGATGATGGGAATGGTTGTTAAGGTAATACAGTAGCAATGCTTAGGAATGAAGTTTCCAAGTCGAGTTTAGGCAAGCACAACCACACACTTCAGACTAAAGGGTACTGAATTTATATATAACTTTTCTATTTAACTTTAAACTTTGTAAATATAAAGCATGATTGGCACTGACACTAATACAATACTATCATTTGGTCATGAACAAGATAAAATTAACATGATAATACTGATGCATATCTGGTCGAAGAGGAGACTAGCTTGATTGTACTGTATGAAAGCACCAAAGCACTCCTCTATTTCTTACTTATTTACGAGGTCTTGTGTACCTCCTTGGATTCCAAAAATTAGTAAGTAGCACATGTGTAGAGTTAAGAAGAAACAACCCAGTGAACACTAGGATATAGCTCCATAAGTGTCTACAGAAAGAGGGGATGGTTTCATGTGTGGTATAATAAATAAAGTAGGAACTAGGATGAATTTATTCCAAAATCTCTCAAAATCTCTCAAAGAAACAAATATGCCATGCAAACACCTCAACCTCGCAGTCCATAAATAAAAGTCTTCAAAAGATTTCTTGTGAATAAAGTTCCAAAGATGCAATGGGTAATGAAGGCATAGTTTATTTTAATGTTTTTTTGCAATTACTCATAGTTATCTTGTGACTATACATATGCAGAATAAAAAATAACATTTGCAATAACTGTGACTTCCTGGCCACATCATTCAGGATAAAAAACGATCATGTGCACATACCAAAGATTCTTAGATAACTCTGAACACGCATGATTTCAGAAGGTCAACTTCTAAGAATGAACGAATGATACCAATCAGGAAAGAAAATGTCAAAATGCACCAAAAAAGATATGTATAAAAAAACATTATCCATTGCACATATCCACATGTTATTACAAACTGCAATGACCTTACACTACACACTACTAGGGAATACTTTTAATGTACATCTACAAGATGTGAACCATCCAAATGCTCTTGGTAGGATACGATGGCATGCTGGGAGAAGGGAGGTGGTGGAGAGGCAGGGCCCAGATGCCACCAAATCAAATGAAGGCACAAATTTAAAAAACTTTCTACTTCAAATGTCTCACTAGATTTACCCTAAAAAATACCATTTCATAATTTCATCAAAAAATTATTTATAAAAATGTACTGTTTTTTAATTTAGTTATGGTTGTTGATAAATCATGTATCCCACAAGCATGCATTCACTCCCATTAATGCTGATCATTAGTTTGTAAATTTAACCAACAATCCTGTCAAAAAAAATGTATGATGAATCTTTATATCTGATCCCAGTTCCATGAATCTGCCATCATAAACTTTAACATGAATGGAGTATGGGCAGGTATCTAGTTAAACAAACTGTCTGCCTTCAGTTCTGCAGGAGCTTTGGTCTGGCAGTCTCAGCCACCATCTTGGGACAGGTGGTCAAATGTCTTATATTTGTGTCAACTCTCAGCACTATTTTATGTACAATATACTCGACACTCACACTGCCCCCAACTTAAGCAAACAGCAGTGGTAACAGCAGCAAACAGCAGTGGCAGCTGGCAGCCACAGCAGCAACAATAGCTGATTCACATGGTGTAATTAGGGGCAACAACACTTGTCCGACTTTCAAGACTCATGTCACACACCCTGAGTCTTCCAGTCCCACTTGTACCTTTCAGTGAGCGGGAGCACAACAGTGCTCAAGTAGCACATAAAACATTGTAAAAAGTTGAATATCTCTGAATGAAGAGGCTCATTTGAACAAACCTCCTCAAAGTGAGAAAATTCTGTCCAAGTCTAATCACAATGTTTGTCTTGCTCTCTACTAAGTCTTTTTAAAGTTTTCAAAATATCACGGGTCTGATTCCCGACAGCACATTATGTTAAGGTGGTGACTGAGGTTAAAAGAAATAAATCTTGATATAGACAAGATAGGTAGCCCAGGCTAGCACAATCCAGTGGCACGAAAACAGTGGGTTCTCACCGTCGGTGTAATTACGAGCGACGAACTTTAGAGTCTCATCCAGCAGCAATACAGGGAAGGAAATCTTCAAGACAGCAATCCACTGGGGCACTGACAGTGGCATCACCTGGAACACAGTCTGAACACAAAGGAATAAATTAATGCATACTGCAATAATTATGCTTGAATGTGTTAAAAATGTTGAATGATTAAAAAAAAAGAACACTATCTCTAAAGATGAAAAAAATCACAACAAAACTAAACCAAATAGTATACAAAAATTAGAAAACTTAAAAAATGAAAAAAGTCTCTAATTTACATTAACTACTTACCAGAAGGAATAAAATACTTTAGGAACATGTTTCTGCATGATGCAACAATCTTATGAAAAATAAAAAAAAACACAAATGGCTGAAAATCTCTACAGGAAAACTTTCATAAACTTTGACAAAGAGGCAACCAGAAGGTGACGTAACTTAACAGACACAAATACAATGCAATAGAAATAGCAGAAAGTAATAACAAGCCACATGAATACAAATTGTTAGACAAAACATGGAAAGTGTCAACCAAAGGGACCATCAAATCATCACTGATAAAAGTGTCACAATTTTTTTTTAATACAATGGCCTTCGCCCACCAAGGCAGGATGACCCAAAAAGGAAGATATGTAGAGTTTTTCTTCTTTATACATTTAGCATTTTATACAGAATAGGTTACTAGCCTCTTGCTCCTGGCATTTTAATCACCTCTTACGACATGCAAAACTCACAGAGGACAGATTCTTCTCTACTTCCCTATATACAGTGGCACCCCGGTTTTCGTCCTTAATCTGTTCCAGAAGGCCGGTCGAAATCCAAAATGGATGAAAACCTAAGTAATATTTTCCATAAGAAATAATGCAAATCCAATTAATCCGTTCCAGACACCCAAAAATATTAAAAAAAAATACATTTTATAGAGAATAACTATAATTTTACATACAGAAAACAGTGAGAATTAAATATAAAGCACTAATTTTAATGGATAAATGAACATTTAAATCACTATTATATACGTCTGTTGAAGACTCTTGTTGGCATATGAAAAAAGGCAAGGAGGGGAGAGAGAAGAGAGGTTATTGTTTGGAAGAGGAATCCCCTCTATAAGGACTTCAGGTACCAAAGCCCTATCGCTTCTTGAGCTTGTTGAACCAGCCTTTGCTGGCCTTAAATTCACTAACAGCAGCACTCGTTCCAGGATTTTCTTTACGAGATCCGCATACAACTGCCTTGCCTTTTCGCAAATTATCCCCTCCACAACACTATCTCCCGCTGTTTCTCGATGATCCACACCAACAACAACTTCTCCACATCTCCATGGGGAAGTGGAACAGAATTCTTCCTCCATAAGCTGTGTGTGTCATAAGAGGCGGCTAAAATGCTGGGAGCAAAGGGCTAGTAACCCCTTCTAGTAACAATACTAAAGTTAAAAAGAGAAGCTTTTGTTTTTCTTTTTGGGTCACCCTACCTCAGTGGGATATGGCCAGTTTGTTGAAAGAAGAAGATATATACAAATGAAATTGTGATAACTGGTATGTTACTCTTGTAAACTTTAAAGCAACTTTCAGATATGTAGTTGAAGTATGGCATAGCCAACAAGTGATGAAAAAGACTTATAGCAAAAGGAGACCTTTATTAACCCTTAAACTGTCCAGGCCCGGTGGCCTGGTGGCTAAAGCTCCCGCTTCACACGCGGAGGGCCCGGGTTCGATTCCCAGCGGGTGGAAACATTTCGACACGTTTCCTTACACCTGTTGTCCTGTTCACCTAGCAGCAAATAGGTACCTGGGTGTTAGTCGACTGGTGTGGGTCGCATCCTGGGGGACAAGATTAAGGACCCCAATGGAAATAAGTTAGACAGTCCTCGATGACGCACTGACTTTCTTGGGTTATCCTGGGTGGCTAACCCTCCGGGGTTAAAAATCCGAACGAAATCTTATCTTATCTTATCTACGTTTTTTCAACATTTAAAAGTATGTAAAAAAAGTAGACCTTTTTTTTTTACATTTGAAAATATGTAAAAAACGTAGATCTACTTTTGGGGCACTACGCATGTGAACGTAGATTCATGTTTGGACAGTTTAAGGGTTAATATGAAGTTTCAGTTATACGAGGTTGTATCATTTATGATGATAATTTGTGTAGGTGAAACATCAAACTAATAAAGGCCTCTTTTTGCTCTCTCTCTATATTTTTTTACCAACCTTCATTAATATGGAGAGGGAAATGGTAAAAGAAAGTTCACAAAATATGTTGGATCAAAATTGGAAAATGAAGTAATGGTGCAGTGTTTACACCTAAAATATGAGAAAGTCCACTGATAATGCCTTTCTTGGCTGACAAAAAAAAAAAAAAAAAGGAAACAACCACATACATACATGATCGTAACAAGATATGAAAGAATGGACAAAAAAGATTCATAAGTCCTTTACCAGGGAGAACAAGAAGCCAAATCACTGACAGAATCATAATAATATGACTGTACATAACACACAGACAGGCAGGATTCAAACTCATGGTAAGCAGGCCTGGTAGTCGTAAGTCTGGCTTACTATACAATGGACCCTTGGTTTTCGTCGATCTTAGTTATCGCCGATTTTGGTTTTGGCTGACTTTTTTCATTGATTTTTGGCTTTAGTTTTGCCAGTTACCTTAGTTTTTGTCGATCGTACGGAACCTGTCCGGTCCCCAGCATGCAGACAAAGCAGGAGATGGTGTTGTGCAGTCCATTATTTTTGAAAAGGCAAGGCAGTTGCATGAGGATCTCATAAAAAAATGCCTGAAACTAGTGGTGATGAAAGTGAATTCAAGGCCAGCAAAGGCTGGTTCGAAAATTTCAAGAAGTGAAGTGGCATACAGAGTGTTGTAAAGCACGATGAGAGTGCCAGTTCAGACAAACAAGCAGCTGAAAAATTCGTTGGAGAATTCAAATGTTATGTAGAGTCTGAAAAATTCCAATCCCAACAAGTCTTCAATTGTGATGAAACAGGCTTCTTTTGGAAGAAAATGCCAAAGAGGACCTACATTATGCAGGAGAAAAAGGCACTCCCAGGACACAAGCCTATGAAAGACAGGCTAGCTCTGTTGTTGTGTGGTAATGCTAGTGGGGATTTCAAAGTGAAGCCTTTACTGGTGTATCACTGAAAATCCCAGAGTGTTCAAGAAAAACAGTGTTGTGAAGAGTAAATTGTGTGTGATGTGGAAGGCCAACAGTAGGGCATGGGTCACCAAGGAAATTTTCTTGGAATGGTTTAATGAAGTGTTTGACCGCAGTGTGGAAAAAATACCTCCTGGATAAGAAATTGCCACTCCAGTGCCTCATGTTAAGGGCCTCGTATGGGCCAGTAGGCCTTCTGCAGTGTTCCTACATTCTTATGTTCTTATATTATTTACTTATGTTCTTATGTTAATGGAATTCCGTTTTGTAACAGTGAAGTGTTTGCCTCCTAGCACCACTCCTCTCCTCCAGCCCATGGACCAGCAGATCATTGGCAAATCTTAAAGAGATGCCTGAAACAGACCTATCTGGACAGATATTTTGTGTGACAGGGCTCCAGTGACTCTCAAGATGGTCCTAGTGACAGTAAAAAACAAAGGAGGGAAGTGACCCCAGATAAGGACTTGGTACCTACAGTCCTTATGGAGGGGGATTTCCCTTATAAAACAATAACCTATCTTCCCTCTCCCCTCCTCCCTGCCTTCCTTCCAGCAACAACAGCCTTCAAAAAAGGTAAGTGTCATGTTTAATGTTCATTCTTTTGTGTATGTAAATGTATATTTAACCCTTAAACGGTCCAAACATATATACGTTCACTCACGTGGGGCCCAAATTTTTTGAGAGAAAAAAAATTGTTTTGTTTTAATAGGAAAAAAAGAGCATATGGTACCCAGGTGTCCTCAATTATTTTAATATGGTGCACAGTGAGTGTGCACACCCATTCTCTCATGTCTAGGCGACTCAGGCTTATCGTGGCAATGTTGAATGAATGACAAAGAAAACATATATATACATTTGGGGCGCTACGCGAGAGAACGTATATAGTATGCGTTTGGACCGTTTAGGGGTTAAGGTAAAAAAAAATTTTTTTGTTGATACTTCTGGGTGTCTGGAACTGATTAATTCCATTTACATTATTTCTTATGGGGAAAATGGTTTTGGTTTTGGCCGATTTTGGTCGATGGCTCTGGAACGGATTAAACACGAAAACCAAGGGTCCACTGTAGGTTCAAATCTTGCCCATTTTGAGAGAAGGGGCCAAATGTTAACCAGCTGATTAAAATGTTTTAAAATGCTACCTCTGATGAGCCTTCCTGACTTCAACACATCAGAGCACTTACACTGAGGATATCAATGTAGAGGATGATGAAATGGAGGGTCATGGAGAGGGCCATAGCCGCCAGCAGCCAAAAGTTGACCCAGGGAGGCATCACCAGCAGCGACTGGTTCTCAGACAAGCTAAAACAAAGTATAAATTAAATAAAATTGAGATAAATATAATACACATACATTACAATTTGTATTTTCTCCTCAGTTTCCGTTAATGGACCTACATGTACTGCATGCTCTAAGTTCCCCCCCCCCCCATGTGCTTTGTCATACCTATTATAATACTGTATAAGCAATTATATATGAAAGCTTTTCTTCACAGAGTGGTACACCAACTAAATGGTTTGCAGAAGAAGGTAGTATGATAAGTACTGCAACTAACAGAAACTTTAAACCTTCATGGTAGATTAAGTATTGAAGACAGAACAAATAGGTAATTACTCTCACTTGTTCTTTCCCCACTTGTTCATTAGCTCTAGGACTATACAGGACAAAATAATCCATTCCAGTGTAAGGACATCAGCAACTCACGTAAACATGACACAAGAAAACATTTTACATTTATAATTTACAGTTAAAATTTACAATTTTTACAGTTACAATTTACAGAATGCTATAAAATAACATTATTACTTAACACACACTTATTACATTTTTTTTATTCGAAGGATTCTCTAAGGTCCCTCGACCCCACGAGTGCTAGCCAGGGTTGCCAGTGCATGATAATAAATATATAAACATAAGAATTTTTTCTTATTCCTTAACTTGATAAAACTATTGTTACTATTGCTACTACAACTACTACACTCTCTGCTTCCTTGTCAGAGTTCATGGGTTCAAATCTAAAGTATTACTACTACTACTATCACCACCTCCACTACTATTACTACTTCTACTACCACCTCCACTATTACTACTAATACTACTACCACTACTACTTCCTTCTTTCCTTCTCTCGTCGTGACTTGTCTTTTGGTCTTTTTCATTTTTCCTCACTTAACTGTGACTTGATAATGGTCCAGGAGATGCCGAGACATCATTTAAAGGTTCGTCTCTACTAGGTTATTTGTGAATTCTTCTATATAAATAATGATTTCCCCTGCACATAGTGTCTTTTATAACTATTGTGAAGAAAAGACACACAAGATTCTTTTGGGACAACATTTCACTCTGAGTAGAACTTTATCAAGTCATGATTTAATTAAATTATATGTAGAGACCTTGTGTGCAATGTGTGCCTTTTCAATCCAGAGGTTAAATGTACTTTTTAAAATAGTGGCAGATGGCTGGAAAAGAATTCAAGAAAGTAGTATGATAAAAATCAACATTTGTTTAGGGTATGTATGATGAGTCAAAGAAGTCAGGGCACCATGAGCTGAACTCAACTTGTGTAGATCATTAATTATTTGACAGTCAGAAAAAACTCCAATAAATTTTCAAAATCACAGGATAATTGCATATTTTTTTACAGTCCCCACTGCTTGAAAATTCCTTATCTGCAATATCTGTTCAAATGCTCTTTGCAAAAAGATCACTGGATAATGTTAAATGCTGAATAAATGATCGCCAGTTAATCAGATATATCAATAACCTACTATAAAGTTCTTTCACATGTTTGTTTTGTTACATGCACACTCACTGCCTCACTATAGACAAAATTTATAAATATTTAGGTTTGTGGTACCAAAACGTTGTTGGAAAAAGACAAAATGCAGACAGACATTTTATTGGAAAATTTTCAGTCCTGGAAATATTTGTCACTCCCAGAACCAAAATGTTTCTTAATGTTTGCATCTTCTGTCTTCATCCAACTAAAATATACGTATAGACTAATTCATAGTACATACAGTACCTTGACTACTGTTTGAAATTCCTGAGTACCAATGACTTATGGGTAATGAAAAACTAAATGATACAACAAATTACAGTATTTGACAAGTGATAGTCAACCTCTGGTGCTCTTATTTATAAAAATACAAGCAAATAAAACACTTTACCTGTTAAGAGCGTTGAGCATTTCAATGGTGACCAGCACAGAGAGAGCCATTGTCATGGGAGCAGGGTGACTGAAAATGCCGCAGTCCAGTCCCTCAAAGTTCTCAGGATCACCGAGGCAAGACAGATGGTGAGAAATTTGGTAGTAGCTCAAGTGAGGGCCAGTAGGATCATACATGAACCACCATGATGCAGCAAAGACGGTGGCTGCTCCCACATAACCACCAATGGCCATGTAGCGGAAGAAGAGCCAGCCAGAAATGAGGGACTCGTCAGCTTTGCGGGGAGGCTTGTCCATGATATCGAGATCTGGGGGATTAAAGCCCAGGGCAGTAGCAGGCAAGCCATCAGTTACCAGGTTGACCCACAGAAGCTGGACAGGGATGAGAGCCTCTGGAAGACCAAGTGCAGCAGTGAGGAAGATGGACACAACCTCACCAATGTTGGAGGAAATGAGGTAGCGGATGAACTGCTTCATGTTGTTGTAAATAGCACGACCCTCTTCTACAGCAGCCACAATGGAGGAGAAGTTGTCATCAGCAAGTACCATTTCAGAGGCAGACTTGGCCACAGCTGTTCCAGAACCCATAGCAATGCCAATTTCAGCCTTCTTCAGAGCTGGAGCATCATTCACACCATCACCAGTCATAGCTGAGATCTCATTCTCTCCTTGAAGATATTCAACAATCTTTGACTTGTGGAAGGGCTCCACTCGAGAGAAGAGGCGGGAACGCATAACAGCTCTGCTCTGGTCTTGAGGAGAAAGCTCATCAAACTCACGACCAGAGTAAGACATGCCAACTGTGTCTTCATCTTCTCCAAAAACACCAATACGACGGCAGATGGCCTCAGCTGTTGCTTTGTTATCTCCAGTAATGACTATAACACGGATACCAGCATCACGACATCTTTTAATGGAATCGAGAACTTCCTTACGTGGTGGATCAAGCATACCAACCACACCAACGAAGGTCATATTAACTTCATAGGTATAGAATTTACTAGCTTCTCCCAAATCCATATCTTCAGGCTTCATTGGACTATCAATTGTAGCAAGGCCCAGACAGCGAAGAGTATCGCGACCACAGCCATAGTCACGTGTAACAGAGAGGATCTTCTCTTTCACTCCAGCAGTAAGAGGGACCTTCTGAGTGCCAACCCGGACATGGGTGCAGCGATCAAGGACACCCTCAGGGGCTCCCTTGCAGAACATCTTAGGTCCGGTTCCCAAACGTGTAGGTTTGAGGGGAACACAATATGAAGACATGGATTTTCTGTCACGTGAGAACTCCAGAGTGAATTCTTTTTTCCATTTTGTCTCCATGTCGTGCTTAGCAATGATAGCAGCAGAGCGGCGATCCAAACCAGATTTAGACATATTGTATGGATTGATCTTCTCACCAAGGACAATAAGAGCAGTCTCAGTTGCTTCACCAACTTTCTCAAAGACATTCTTGAATTCATTATAGTCAATAGAAGAATCATTACACATTAAAGAAATAGTGGCCAGTTCCTGCAGTCCCTCAAAGTCAGAGCCCTTCACCTTAGAACCTTTTAAATAAACATCACCAATAGGTTCATAAGTGGAGCCAGTAACCTCAAACTCTAGCAGAGAGCAGTCATTTCCCTCTACCTTGTCCAAAATGAACATACGGGCCACAGACATCTGGTTGGTGGTGAGTGTACCAGTCTTATCAGAGCAGATGACAGAAGTACATCCTAGAGTTTCAACAGAGGGAAGAGATCTGACAATGGCATTCTTCTTGGCCATACGGCGAGTACCAAGAGCCAAACAAGTAGTAATGACAGCGGGGAGACCTTCAGGAATGGCAGCAACAGCCAGGGCAACAGCAATCTTGAAGTAATAAATAGCACCCTTGATCCATGATCCACCATGAGCAGGATCATTGAAGTGTCCAATGTTGATAGCCCAGACAGCAACACAGATGATAGAGATAACCTTGGATAACTGTTCACCAAACTCATCAAGCTTCTGTTGTAGGGGAGTTTTGATTTCCTCAGTCTCAGCCATCTGGGTTCGGATCTTACCTAAAATTGTACACCAAAATTAGGTAAATGCTTGAATTTACAGTAGCAAAAAAATATATGCATCAGCAATAAATTATAATAATTACAAAATTATTACCGTAATGTAAACTTTTTTGGCAAATTACAATGCTGAATACAATTCTTAATTCTCACCACCTAAGCATAGGTTCTTCATTTTTTACCAGTACTGACTCAGAGCAAGAGTTTGTTTGAACAAGTGCATTTAGTGACAAGTAGATAGATGTGGGAACAGACACACAAGGTGCAGAACAAACAACAGTTCAACCCCAATACAGCCTCTCCTCACTTAGCGGCGTATTCGTTTACCGACAACTCAGACTTATGATGGGCTCTCTGGCAACATGCATACCTAAATACATGTAATGTATATTAGAGATGATTTCCTGTATTCTGTTATTACAATATACACTACACTACTATATAAACATTTAAAAATATACTAAAAATGTTATAAATGGTACAAAGATGGCATTAAAACAATATCAAAGATGGTTGACACAAACCCACTATCATTATCCACTATCATTGTTTACCAACGTGGTCTTAGGAAAGAAACTCCATCGTTAAGTGAGGAGAGGATGTATTGCATATTTATACTCATACCTGTTGGCATTATCCTTCTACATGCATGTAGTACATCTCTAATTTTTTAGTTGTTTATATTTCAACTTTTGTTCATTTTTAATTTATCACAATTTTTTCTGTGCTGCTATATTTGTACAAGATCCACTTTTTTTTTTTTACAGATTCTGATGATGGTGATTATTCACTGATGCAATGATAATAAAGTCCATTTTATAAAAATCTTTCCTACTGCTCTCAGATTGATGGAAGGTTATTTGACGAAAGCTTACTTGTGCGCAGTTATTATATCCTTACATGCAAGTTCAGGTAATTCATCTATAAAATTCCTAACACAATACCTGTAAGAGGCAGAACATACTGAACTGTACTGCAAAGAAAATGACTTTGACAAAGAGAAGAGTTACTGGGAAAAGTACTGGATATATAATTTACAGTACATAAAGAATAAACCATACCACGGGTGAGGTTTGAACCCACTAATTGTTTGTTTGCAATCGTCTCATTACGATTTCGTGAGTCACATAAAGAATAGGTTGGGTGATCATATTTCACCTTCTACTCAGTACAGTGTAACTACAAATATCCAAACTTTGAAATTTCAAAAATTTTAAAGATTCTGAAACTGTCCCTAAATTTTTTAAACTTCATTTCATTTTGTGTTGAGAAATGATCTATTGATGTACATTCAGCCACTAAATGCCAGAGAATTTAAGCAATTTATTGAAAACTTTCAGGAATGGTGTCATATCCTGTAAGCAAACAGCGAGAGGAAAGTTTTATGATAGTCAAGAACTATAATAAGTTAACTATAGCTTACTGGTACTCCAACTTAATACACAAAATTCTTGATTATCCTTAACAATAAAATTAATTTATTCCTTATAAATGCCTCAAACAGGAGCAAGGGGATAGTAACCCCCTTCTCCTGTATAAATTACTAAATTGAAAAAGAAAAACTTTTGTTTTTCTTTTTAGGTCACCCTGCCTTGGTGGGATAAGGCTGGTTTGTTGGAAAAAAAAATGCTTCAAACCACACTCTGATATAATGAATGTTCAGACCATTTCCCTAAATGTTAGCATAAATTCATCTACATTTAACATAATATAGATGAGTTATTCAATCCCCTTCTCCTGTATATATTACTAAATATAAAAGGAGAAACTTTTGTTGATCCAAGGAATTGGACTTATTCTCCCCTTCCTTTGATCAAATCTGAATGCTTCCCATTCCCAAGGCACTATATGACCCTTTTGGGTTTAATGCTTTCCCCTTGATTAAAATAAATCAATAACAAAACAATGGAGACAAATTAACCTCACAAGAAAAGGCTTAATTAGACTACTGCTTTACACCAGTGATGAACAACTCTCACACTGAATAAATATTAGTGAGTGATCAATGACCCTGCCTCAGTGAAAGAAAGAAGAGTCATTCAATACACATGCTTCAGTAACAGAGATAATATGGAGTAATTTAAAAACTTGGGGAAAACATTATAATAACATTTAAACATGAAAGTGTGTAGAAAGTGTCACCTACCAATAGCAGTTGCGAGACCAGTACCAATGACAATACCCCGAGCTTTGCCAGCAGATACATTTGTGCCCGAGAATAGGATGTTCTTCTTGTCCTATGGTGAAATACAATAAAATTAGTGCCAACATAAAACATAAGCATACCTAAATTACATTGCCCAATGGTTCGTAATGTATTACTTCCATATCTGTAAACCACAACATTTTAGTAAACTAATCTAACTAAATCATTGTCCACTAGTTATAAGTTAGTTTTAAGGCTGCCCCAAATGCTCCGCATAACCAAGGTCTTTATGTTAGTCTATTAAACATGTTAATTATTCCTATATCAACTGTATAATGTACTATATGCAAATAAAAATTTTAATTTTGATTTCAACATTTTTGCTGGGCAGTCAAAATCTTTAACTTTTGCTAATACAGTATACAAGTTTAATTCTTGTATTAAACAAGTCACAAACCAAATTGTTGAGACAAATACTGGGTATATCAAAATAAAAAATGAACATAATAGCTATTGTACGTATTTTACAATACAGTATACCTGCACCCTAGGATATTTCCAGTAACAAAATCTTACAGGTGTCACGATGCCAGAGGCTCTTGATCCAAGGAATTGGACTTATTCCCCCCTTCCTTTGATCAAATCTGAATGCTTCCCATTCCCAAGGCACTATATGACCCTTTTGGGTTTAATGCTTTCCCCTTGATTAAAATAAATCAATAACAAAACAATGGAGACAAATTAACCTCACAAGAAAAGGCTTAATTAGACTACTGCTTTACACCAGTGATGAACAACTCTCACACTGAACAAATATTAGTGAGTGATCAATGACCTATTCAGTGGATGAGTAAGTCAGTTGTGCAACACTTGAGCATCTTCATGATAGAGACATCATGAACCAGTGACTTTATTTCTCCAGGAGAGACAATATGTGGTAGTGTAAGGATGAGATGAAGTGTTAAGGCTGAGGGACTGATCACCTCAAATTAACTCATCTTGTCTCTCTTGTTAACTCTCTGTGTTGGACAGATAAAGCCGCTGGTTGGTAAAATATCTCCACAATAAAGATAGCCAAGTATTGCACGTGTGTTTTATTCATCTACTTGTTGTCTATGTAAACTATTGACATAATAAACCAATGATACTGACTAGCTGCAGATATGTCTTTTTTACCTGACATTTAGCTCAGTGTTGAGCTTCATAAAGTTTAACAGCTGTCTTGCCAGAAGTGAAAAGACATCATAATTTGGATGACCCTCTGAACTGCAACACTGCCACCCCCACCTGCAGTACTCTGAGAATAAGTACTGTGAAGACAGGGAAGGGGATGTTGCAGTTCGGAAGGTCATTCAAATTGTGATATCTGCACACTTTGAGGCAATCGGAACAAGGGACTTTCATTACAAACTTTCTTTTTTTACTAAAGTATACAATCCAGTTTATAAACTGAGTAAAGGCAATGAAAAGTATTCATTGTCACAGGCCATTGGTAGTTTGAATTTTTTATGAAAGACATGAAAGCTAACTGTGCCACTCAAGAGGTGCAACTGTGCCACTCAAAGGCCAAAGGTTGTACATCTCTGCTATGGTTTTCAAAATTTTCGGTTGCTGCTATCTGAAACAGCAAGCTAAAGCTTGGAAGGCAGTGAGAATATTCACAGGTGGTGAACCAATCATGCCCAGCAGCAACTTAAACAATATATTTCATATTGAAGAAAAGACACGCTATATTGGGACAATGTTTCTCTCTGTGTAGAGCATTATCAAGACATGACTTCATAAAGCTCTACATAGTGAGCAGTGACAAGATAAAGTTCTAAATGGTGAAACATGACTGCACAAATCTCTACAGTGAAAAATTACTTTACAAAGCTCTACATAGAGCAAAAATCACAATAAAAATGTGTTCTGCATCCTGTGTCTTTTGTTCACTACTGTTGGCAGTATGACATTTGGATCCAACACAATTCATAATCATGTGCACATGCATGATAAAATACATCCTGAAAACAGGTATCATTCTAGATGCAAATTCAGTTATCCTGAAGCATTATCACCAGCGGCAGATTCAATAGGGAGAGCCCTGGTGCAACACATACACATGCAATATATTTATACTGTAACACTAGTGAGGTATTCATGGGTCTGGGTTGTGAAATAGAATTGTGATGTGCCTCACATTTACGCCAGTGAATGTTACTATATATTGTCCTCAATTATCAACAATAAAATTTGACTAGAAACAATTTTATTTTAATATTTGTCGTCAACGGGTACAGTGTACCTGGGTATAATGAATGAAGACTATTACTAGGAGTATACCTCTCTAGGGTTAAAATGTGTATAATAAACCACCAAGTAATTTAAAAAAACAACTTTCTTCTGACCCTTTAAAATAATTTATTTGTTTCCAAACTGAAACCAAGGTGTCCTTCATACCCAGGGCCCTGGGCAACTGATATTTTTGCCCTAATGTTGATCAGTCACTCATTTTTACATATGATTTGTTAAATCTCATCACAGGATTAGATGGCTGGTTAATGGGGGTTAATGGCTGGTTAATGGGGGTTCATGACCCTACACTAGGGTCATGAACACTGCGCATAACCTTATCACCACCAGACAAGAATACTTTAATTCCTACAATAGGGGGTAAAGTCAACTCTAAGCATACATACACTAAGAAAAACACACTTATAGATGTGTATATGGTGCCACGTGGCCTTGCAGCTAAAGCTTTCGCTTCACACAGCGAGGGTCTGGGTTCGATTCCCAGTGAGGGTAGAAACACTGGGCATGTTTCTTTACACCAGTTGTCTATGTTCACCCATCAGTAAAATGGGTACCTGGAAGTTAGTAGACTGGTGTGGGTCACGTCCCGAGACAAAACTGACCTAATTTGCCAGAAATCCTCTGCATAACAAGCAACTTTCTATATAGTAGTATGTCATTGATGTCAGCTAGGTCTGTATACCTTGTACATGTACTTGTAGTAAATAACGACATTATTATTATTAACCAGGTTAGAGTCTGAATATAAAGGAGGTATCAAATGCTAAGTGATGTTTAGAAATACCTCCCCTATCTTCAGTCCTCACTATCCTTCTACCTTAAAAAACTTGGGTTTTGATTTCCATTTTTACATTTATTTTTTCACTGTGTCATGTTACATTCCATTCTACCAATTCTCACTTCACTTGATCATATACACTGACAACAAGTTATTACAGAACTGACCATCAAGTAGGTCCAAACTTACAAGTCTATCAGAGACAACATATATATGACACATATGACATATACATGATACATACACAACATATACATGACACATACACAACATATACATGACACATACGACATATACATGACACATACACAACATATACATGACACATACACAACATATACATGACACATACGACATATACATGACACATACACAACATATACATGACACATACACAACATATACATGACACATACACAACATATACATGACACATACGACATATACATGACACACAACATATACATGACACATACACAAAATATACATGACACATACACAACATATACATGACACATATGACATATACATGACACATACACAACATATACATGACACATACACAACATATACATGACACATACACAACATATACATGACACATACACAACATATACATGACACATACACAACATATACATGACACATACACAACATATACATGACACATACACAACATATACCTAACTTTATTTTCAAATACACCTACAAATTTTGTGTTCAATTTCCAATGACTAAACTCAGTTACAATTAAAAAAATAGATGAGCATTGCTTTATTATATTCATAGGTAAGTTGAGAGGACGTAGGAGCCATGCAGCACCTGAGTAATGGGAGGTAATCAGGTTTGATTCCCCTTCCAAACAGTAAGCCCTCCCTCCCTCCCTCCCTCCCTCCCTCCTCCTTGCTATCTTCCAGATGCCATCAATAATCTTCAATAAAGATAAGTAAAAATGTTACATGTTTATTTAAATTTTTATTTATCAGTTACTAATTGTACTATGTATGTTTGTTATATGTAAAACTATAATGTAATCTCTATAAAATGTATTTTTTTGTGAATATTTTTAGGTTTTTGGAGTGGATTAATTGTATTTCCATTATTTCTTATGAGAAATATTGCTTCGACTTTCGAACATTTTGACTTTAGACCTAGGACCTGGAACAAATTAAGTTCGAAACTCGAGGTTCCACTGTACATGTATATATATTATATCACATATACACACACACATACCTAGTAGTGACCAGTAAAGAGGCATGGCCAGGTGCTGTGACTTGACCCCTCCAACCACAAGTAGATGAATACACACACACACACACACACACACACACACACACACACACTATAATAATCAATAAGACCCCCTATAATTTCCCTTATTGTCACTTTTGTGTGAAACGAAAGCCTGTAATTGTTTTACATGATGGTAGGATTGCTGGTGTCTTTTGTCTGTCTAATAAATATGCAAGATTACAGGTATGTCTTGCTACTTCTACTTACACTTAGGTCACACTACACATACATGTACAAGCATATATATACATACTCCTCTGGGTTTTCTTCCATTTTCTTTCTAGTTCTTGTTCTTGTTTATTTCCTCTTATCTCCATGGGGAAGTGGAACAGAATTCTTCCTCTGTAAGCCATGCGTGTTGTAAGAGGCAATTAAAATGCTGGGAGCAAAGGGCTAGTAACCCCTTCTCCTGTATAAATTACTAAATTTAAAAAGAGAAACTTTTGTTTTTCTTTTTGGGCCACCCTGCCTTGGTGGGATATGGCCAGTTTGTTGAAAAAAAAAAATTGTCACTTTTATTACTACTTTATGATACACAAAAGCAGTATACAAATACACAAGCATAAGCAGTATAAAGAATATACATGTATGTATGTGTATGTATATAACAGTAAAATGCTGATTTAACAGACCTTGATTTAATGGAAGCAAGAAACAAAAAATTGAGCTGGACAAGCACTGGATTCAATGGACAATATGAAGATCCATCGAATCTGGGTTTTGTCCTTTAGCATTAGAATGGCTGGTAACCTCTGGAAGTAACAGAACAAATCCACTACTGTCCGGTATGAGCCAGAACATTCCCATCCCAGACCTGTCCATTTTCACTTTTCCCCCAAAGAATGGGCTGCTAGCATCACATTTAAAACCTACTTGATAACCCATAGTGGCCAGTGGCCTGGTAGGCAAAGCTCTCGCTTTACACACTGAGGGTTCAGGTTTGATAAACCATACCATGGGCGGGGATAGAACCTGCGATCAGAGAGTCTCAAAACTCCAGACAGTCACGTTAGCCACTGGACAAGCTAGCCACAATAAGATTCGTCCAACTAGGTATATTTCTACACCATAGGAAGGTTAGCATAGGCACCACTGTGACCACAAATGCAAGTTTTTAGAGACGAATCTCCATGGTTTGTTTGCAATCGTGTCATTACGATTTCTTGAGTCATTCAGGTTTGATTCCTGGCAAGGGTAGAAACACTGGGGCATGTTTCCTTACACCTTTTCTCCATGTTCACTCATCAGTAAAATGGGTACTTGGGTGTTAGTTGATTGGCATGGGTCGCATCCTAATTTACTGACCTAATTTACCCGAAATGCTCTGCATAACAAGCGGCTTTCTACATAGTGGTATGTCATTTATGTCAGCTAGGACTGTATACCTTGTACATGTACTTGTAGAAATAAAGATATAATAATTATTATTATATACATGTATCTAGTTTTTAAGTAGTCTTTAAGTACTAGGATTAGTCTGCCCGAAAAGCACACGTTAGTGGCTTTCTTTTGTGCTTAACAATATTTTATTTTAAAGGAAGGGTTTGGGATATTGGCAGTTTGGAGGGATATGTTGTGTATCTTTATACATATATGCTTCTAAACTGTTGTAATCTGAGCACCTCTGCAAAAACAGTGATTATGTGTGAGTGAGGTGAAAGTATTGAATGATGAAAGTATTTTCTTTTTGGGGGATTTTCTTTCAGTTTGGGTCACCCTGCCTCAGTGGGAGATGGCCGACTTGATAACAAAAAAAATGTAAACTACATTACCTGTACACTGCAGAAAAGAAATACGTAAATTATTTGTATTTGTATTGTCTGCACTCATCGACTTCTTAATTTTCCAATGGATATGCAGTGTTTAGTGTGTCTATTAATGTATTAAATGCAGTGTTACTAACAGTGACCTCTAAAAGCAAGCAGTGGTGCCAAGAGGAAGCATGCAAATTTGGGTATTAAGCAAAAACTTGAACTAATAAGGAAGGTTGAGTTTGGCATTTCATGTGTGTGAGAAATATTGTGTCAAGGAACAGTGTCTGATATCCATAGAGACAAGGATAAACTTACAAACTGTGCTTTTAAATTTAGTGTGGACTCATGTATACTCCATTCATTATAATATGGGCCCTGGGTAAGTGCCGAACCCATAATGGTCATCTACTGTATACAGAGCTCAATAAATGAGAAGTAATCAAGTTTGATATAAAGAATGAGAGGAGTAACTTAATTTCTTTGGATCAAGAGCTCTTTGCCATCATCAAGGCATTCTTTATCCCCTTGGAAGGGCATACACAACACAGATTGCATCTTATATCACATGGAAGCTCTGGGGACAATCAGGAGTATAAAAGCCTTTGCCAAACTTGAGCTCTGGTAGTTTCTGCTGCAGATGTTTTTGACTCAATAATCACTAAAAGATGAAGTAAAATAGTCTCTAAGGATACTATTGAAGCATTTGAACAATAATAGCTAAATATACTGAAATAAAAGCAGGACAATAAATTTCATAAATGAAAAATCTTGCAACATTTTTATCATTGCCACTGTAACTTATACAATAACAATGAGTTGACCTTACTGCCTCGCCTTCTACTTTTATCAATACCAATTTCAGCGTGGTCTAAGCAGTGAAAAGTACTATACACAGTCATCATCATTAAAGAAAGAAAATCATGCTGGCCTGGCAGCTTAAAGCAGGATGTCTCAGGACTCCCTAAGTTCTTTTAGGCTTGTGTGGTGGATGGTTTGTGTCCCTGGTCCCCCTTCACCATGTGGTTTTGAGTGCTGAGTCTGTCAGACATTTTTGGCTACTGAAGAATAGTATGGGGAGGAGTAAGTCACTGACGCAAGAGACAACTGCATATATCATTGGATTACATAAATAAGGCCATCAAATGAAGGAAATGTTAGAAGCTTAGAATTACTCTGTTATCATTTGCCTGAATCCTTCATGCAGTGTGGTGGAAGGCTTTCATGTATGACAGTGCTCCTTACCATACCATGAAATGTCATTCAATGTCATTGTGCCTGTGAGTACCCTTATCTGATGACTGGCCACAAAATTCCTCAAACTTAAAACCCAACTGAAAACCTCTGGGTTGTGACTGAAAGAGAGATTTACTAGGGGAAAGATATCAGCCCACTCTCCAAGTTTTAGGATGACATCCATGAGTTTGAGTGAATTTACCCCCATGAAACCCTGAAGAATGTGTGTTAATCACTTCCTAAATGGTTGAAGGATGTTCTAAAGTGCAAAGGACGACCTATTTTGTGGTCATGATTTTAAGGGGCCTGGCATACATTAATGACAAGCACTGTACAAGTCTAAAAATATATAATTTCCAAAAAAGAAGGTTGTACCTGTTCAAATATGCCAAGAACTTTAAATGCAGCAGATATTAAAACATGAGAAACTACACAACATCTATGTGCATGCAGCCAGGGGACACCACCTACAATACAGTTTTGAAACTCTACTGTTCTAGCCATAGGAAACACTCCACAAAATGTATAGGAGAGAAATATCCCATTAATGCACATGAGTCTAATGACTGCTCAAGATCTAAGACACAATTTGAGTATAAAAAAATTATGACTTGCATAAAGAAATAAAACTAGACATTCTTCATATGACAATCTGAACGTATGATAACTATAATTTCTCCCCATAACATTTTCAGAGATTCCTCCCTTACACATAATGCTTATTACATCTACCTTAGAGTAACTGCAGACAGCAGCACAAACACACGGACTGACAGTAGATGGTAGTGACCAGACAATAGGCATACTAGCAAACAACTCGTTTAAAAGTAGAGGATGTGGAAATTAAAGGTATATTTTGGATTCTTTACCTGAATAATGGCACGAGCAATACTCGCCCCATCCATGTCTGCGTGCTTGTAAATGAACAAGGTTTGCGATATACACTCAACTGCAGGTACTGTAGCAACTTTAGCTTATGTGCTAATTTTTACAACTAAAATTAAAAGCTACCTTCAAATCTCGTATGACACGAAGACATGTTAAATATTTCTTTGGTAGACTTATTTAAATGTTATGTATGATCACTTGACAGTCTGCTCACTATAGGTCTGATAAAAATACTATAGTTAATGAGAAAGTGCACTTCATCATTAGTAAACATCTAACAGTGATACAAAAGAACACCTAAGGGGTAATCTTCCCTGTTGTTATGGGAATACACTGAATGGTAGTATTAAAAGAGCTTGGAGAGGGTTCACACCAAGAAAATGTTAGCAAATCAGGCTCCACAGAGGAGAATGCACTTGTATAACCTCAAAATTTGTAACCTTGTAAGAAAAAACATTGCAACTCAGAATAAAGGCATATCAATATTAGGGATGTTTCACTGACTGAGGGTGGGGAGGAGGAGGAGGCAGGGATGGGAACTAACCTGGTTGACAGCTTTGGGGTCAGGAATGGGTTCGGTGTGCTTGATGACAGAAACTGATTCTCCAGTCAGGATAGACTGGTCAATACGTAGGGTCGTGGAATAGATCTTGCTAAGACGAATGTCAGCAGGAATCTTGTCTCCAACTGTAATATTAGGATACACCTGTAATTCATGATATATCAGCATATTCAAAGAATTCAAATATTGATGGTGTGTGAGAGAAATAATCCATCACAAAAATTGCAATAACAAAAGAAAAACAGTACTAGTAACTCTCCCTCTGACATGTTAAATTTAGCATAGCTTCACACTAAAGTTTAACATGTCAAAGGGAGAGTGACTGACATGAGTAATGATGTACATGGTGTTATGTGACTGACATGAGTAGCTATGTACAGGTACGTTATGTGACTGACATGAGCAGCAATGTACATGTTACTGACATGAATAATGTACATAGTATGTTATGTGGCTGACATGAGTAGTGATGTACATGGCATATTATCTGACATGAGTAGTATGATGTGTGGCTGGTGGATGTGTGGCCTGGTGGCTAAAGCTCCCGCTTCACACACGGAGGGCCCGGGTTCGATTCCCGGGGGGTGGAAACATTTCGACACGTTTCCTTACACCTGTGGTCCTGTTCACCTAGCAGCAAATAGGTACCTGGGTGTTAGTCGACTGGTGTGGGTCGCATCCTGGGGGACAAGATTAAGGACCCCAATGGAAATAAGTTAGTTCTCAATGACGCATGACTTTCTTGGGTTATCCTGGGTGGCTAACCCTCCAGGGTTAAAAATCCGAACAAAATCTTATCTTATCTTATAAAGAATAGCAGTGGTATGAGGTGAACAGTATATAAAGTGCATTATGGGTGGTATATAATAAAATAAATTATGATACTGTTAGGATTATTAACCGGGGAAGGAAGGAGGGGGGGGTAGTAACCCAGGATAACCCAATACAGTCAGAGCGTCATCAGGGACTGTGTCTGATTACCATTAGGGGTACGTTAATGCTTTCCCATCCCCTCCCTCGGGATGCCACCCACACCAGTTCACTAACATCCAGGTACCTACTTACTGCTAGGTGAACAGAGGGAGCAGGTGTAAGTTAATATGTCCAACGTTTTACCCATGTCGGGGATCAGTCCCTGGTCCCTCAGTGTGTAATGTGATATACAGTGGGGTGGTAGTATATGATGTACAGTGTGGGTGGTGTGTGATGTACAATGTGGGTGGTATGCAATGTAGATAGTGTGGGACAAAGGAACAGTGTAAGTGTGAGAATGATGGGGGGAGGAACGAGAAGGTAAGCAACAAATGGATTCCAATAAAAATAAGTCTAACTTTGTGGGTTATCTTAGGTAATTTACCCCATGTATGATATTTATATTGTGCTTCAATAAGCTTACTTACAAAATACCCGACATTTTTTAGCAGAACGGAATACAACAGCACTGTGCTACTACCCTACTCTATAACAATTACACAGTGGTGAACCAGTTATACGGTGGGGAACAAGTTATACAGTGGGGGAATAAAAACTACACAATGGGATTAGGTTAGGTAAGGTTTGTCAGGAAACAGAAGTTTTTTCCTGATGTGGGTCTTAGTCATATGACCGACAACTGAAGCTTTTGGCCATTTGGCTGAGGCCTTCCACTAGCTTACCGGTTCACCTCTTTAAAAATCGTGGTTATGATTATAACCATTAAAGTAGTAGTATATGATATACACAGTGGGGGGAGGGGGTTAGGTTAAGTAAGGTTCGTCAGGAAACAGGACAAATGTTTCCTGACGCGGGTCCTAGTCAGATGACCCGCCGTTGGAGCTTTTGGTCATCTGACCGAGGCCTTGGGTTTTAAGTATTGAGGGGGGGTTAGGTTAGGTTCGTCAGGAAACAGGACAAATGTTTCCTGGCGCGGGTCTTAGTCAGATGATGACCCGCCTTTGGAGCTTTTGGTCATCTGACCGAGGCCTTCCGCTGGCTTACCGGTCCACCCCTTTAAAAATTATGGTCATTTATAACCATTGTTAAAAAAAAAAATATTGAGGGGGGGGGGGGGGAACAACAGCTATATATGTGGTGGGCGGCGGAGGGCGGGGTGGCAGCGGTTGAGGATATCAAGGGCGTACGTACCGGAGACCTCTACTACGTCTCCAGGGACGATCTCTCGGGCACGGACCTTCTGCACGCCGGCCTTATTGGCACGCACCACTTTACCCATCTCGGGTTCGTACTCCTTCAGCGCCTCGATGGCCGATTCGGCATTGCGTTCCTGAAAGTCAAAAAACACAAACTCTTCAGTTATTTGCCTACTGATTTCACATTCGTTTTATGATGTTTACAGACATATTATATAACAAATGACATTAATATTTTTTTTAAACATAGACTATCTCCCGCAGAGGTAGGGTGACCCGAAAAAGAAGAAACACTTTCACCATCACTCAATCACTCCAATGGAAATAAGTCACTTTGGGTTATCCTCGGAAATTTACACTATGTATGATAATTGTGCTTATATGTACCTGTGCCTAAATAAACTTACATTATTTTGTCAAAGGTGTTCTGACATTACAGCACAGATATTGCAGTTTTATAACTGCAGTGTAAGCGCGCCTCTGGCAAGACAGTGATGAAGTGAATGATGATGAAAGCGTTTCTTCTTTCTCGGGTCACCCTGCCTTGGTGGGAAACGGCTAATGTATTAATAAATAATAATAATAATAATGAGAGAGTGCAAAGTAGGCTTCGAGCTACCCTGTCTCTGTGGTCTCATGTCAGCTGTGATACCCCCATGCACAGGTGTGAGCGAACAAGGTGTGCCCATACCCACCCCATGTTCCCTGCCCACAGGGAAATCACGCGAGGTCAAACAAAGGTCAGGCATGCAGTGTCTGGACCACTTTACACCACCTGCACCGCCACTTTCCCCCACCTTCCTACAAGAAAGTGACTTCATTCCTGCTGCGAGGTCCTTCATTCAAGGAACTGAACGATTCATGAAACCCCAATAACATGATTGCAGACATATTGCAGACCGGGTGAGACTCGAGCCCATGGTAGAAGAGTCCTGAAATTTTCAAGGAAGCCACAAATAAGCGAGTAAACCAGAAAACCCACTGACAGTAAGATCAATGAAACTGTTCGTGCTGCTTCCCGCAACTATAAACAACAATGGGCCTAAATCTGATCCCTGCGGAACGCCACTTGTTACAGATCCCCACTCAGATTTAACCCCATTTATGCACACTCTCTGCTTCCTACTAGTGAGCCATGACTCGATCCATGACAGCATTTTTCCCCCAATGCCATGGGCAGCCACTTTCTTCAACAGTCTCTGATGTGGTACTCTATCAAAAGCCTTACTAAAATCTAAATAAACAATATCGAATTCTTTATCCTGATCAACGGCCTCAAAAACTTTGCTGAAGAAGGTTAATAAATTAGTTAGGCAGGAACGGCCCCTGGTGAAACCATGTTGAGTATCATTAATCAAATTATGCCTATCGAGATGGCTTCTTATATTGTAGGCTATAATTGACTCTAGTAATTTACCTACAATTGAGGTTAGGCTTATTGGGCGGTAATTTGACGGTAACGACTTGTCCCCTGCTTTAAAAATAGGAATTACATTAGCCATCTTCCACATATTAGGTTCTACACCCGTTTGAAGAGATAAATTAAAGATATTAGTTAAAGGTTCACAGAGTTCCATTTTACACTCTTTAAGAACCCTTGAAAAAAGTTCATCAGGGCCCGGGGATTTATTTTGCTTTAATCGGTCTATCTGTTTGATAACCATTTCGCTGGTGACTGTGATACTGCATAATTTATCATCTTCAAGCCCACTATAAAAATTAATTACTGGGATATTGTCAGTGTCTTCCTGAGTGAAAACCGAGAGAAAATAATTACTAAGAATAGAGCACATTTCATTCTCCTTGTCAGTGAGATGCCCAGAGTTGTTTTTAAGGGGACCTATCTTATCTCTAACTTTTGCTCTATAAACCTGGAGAAAACTTTTTGGGTTAGTTTTTGAATCCCTAGCAACTTTAATTTCATAGTCCCGTTTAGCTTTTGTTATCCCCTTTTTAACGTCCCTCTTAATGTCAATATACTGGTTCATAAAATGACCCTCACCTCTTTTGATACGCCTATAAATTCCTTTCTTCTGACCTAAAAGATATTTGAGCCTATTATTAATCCATTCGGGGTCATTTCTATTCGATCTAATTTCCTTATATGGGATAAATGTCCTTTGGGCAGCATGTATTGTGTTAAGAAAGCTGTCATACTGATAGCTCTCTTCGTTACCCCAGTCAACAGATGATAAGTGTTCTCTAAGCCCATTGTAATCTGCTAAGCGAAAATCTGGGACTGTTACTGAGTTATCCCTACTATCATACTTCCATTCAATGCTAAAGGTAATTGATTTGTGATCGCTTGTGCCGAGTTCTTCTGTAATTTCTAAATTATTTACGAGGGTTTCCTGGGGAGGTACTCGGGAATTTGTTCCACTCATACACAACTGTTACCAAACCAGTGCTTTCCTATCTCCTTCCTGAATCTGAATTTTTCCATCTTAAAGCCATTGCTGCGAGTCCTGTCTAGGCTAGATATTTTTAGCACGCTATTTAAAAGATACAGTTCAGGACATCTATTAAAGGTAACGTTTCGCCACGAGAACCACTCGTGGAGAAACGTTTCCTTCAATAAATGTCCTGAACTGTACTCACCTAGCTGTGGATGCAGGAGTCGAGTCACAGCTCCTGGCCTCGCCCCTTCACTGGTCGCTACTGAGTCACTCTTCCTGCTCCATGAGCTTTATCATACCTCTTCTTAAAGCTATGTATGGATCCTGCCTCCACTACATCACTTCCCAGACTATTCCTGACAACTGAAGAAATACTTCCTAACATCCCTGTGATTCATATGAGTCTTTAACTTCCAATTATAACCCCATGTTGCTGTGTCCCATCTCTGCAATATCCTGTCTCTGTCCCCTTTGTCGATTCCTACCAGTATTTTATATGTAGTTCACAGTAATGGAAGGCGCATCAGAGTAAGGAAAGTTAAGAGTGAAGATCTGAAGGTAGGAAATCGCTTCTCTGTTCTTCAGGATGAATGTACTTCAGTGGCCAGTGAAGGTAAGGGTACTACTGCCCCTGCTAATGGAGGTAAGCGCATTCTTGTGGTTGGTGACTCTCAGGTAAGATACATTGACCGTGCTTTTTGTAATAGGAATAAGAAGATGAGAGATAGAGTGTGCTTCCCTGGAGCTGGTGTTGGGGACATTGTCAACAGGCTGGATAATATCATGTCAGGTAATGGGAGCAAGCCCATTATCTGTCTCAGTGCTGGTGGAAATGATATTGGGAAGGGTAGGAGAGAAGAGCTGCTAGATAAGTACAGGTCAGCTATAGATTTCATTAAGTCTAAGGGAGGGATCCCAATCATATGTAGCATCTTGCCTAGAAGGGGAGTAGGAAATGAATGGTTGTCTAGGGCAATTGGTGTAAATTGCTGGCTAGACAGATACTGCAAGGAACTTGCAATCCCATTCATTGACAACTGGAACAACTTTTATGGCAAACATGATATGTATGCAAGGGATGGGGTACATCTCTCTGGGGCTGGGGTGGTAGCACTTGCAGACTCGATTGAGAAGGCCATTGGTGAAATGCCTATGATTTTAAACTGATGGAAGATAGAGGTATGGGTGTGTGTGGGAAACAAGCAGGTTGCAACACTTGGGTTGGAAACAGTAAATGTATAAAAGGCATTCAGCATGAAGTTATAAATAAAGACAATAGATCAGGTCAGCAAACAAAGGGGGACAGCAGAGGGCAGCAAGGGACTAGCTCCCTTAAGGTTTACTATACTAATAGCAGGAGTGTAAGAAATAAGATAGATGAGCTAAGATTAATTGCAAGTGCAGGAGACATAGATATTATTGCTATAACAGAGACCTGGCTCAATCTGAAAGATAGAGAGATGCCCTCTGAATGTCACATACAAGGCTATAAATTATTCCACACTGACAGGTCAACAGGAAAGGTGGTGGAGTAGCGATGTATGTCAGAGACAATTTAAATTGTTGTGTTAGACAAGATATTAAATTAGAAGCGTCAGCCACTGAATCTGTTTGGTTACAGCTTCTCGAGGGCCGAGAAAAACTAATTTTGGGTGTGATTTACAGGGCCCCAAATCTTGATAGGGAGTGCAGTAAACTTCTATGGGACGAAATTCGTAAGGCATCTACATACGAAAATGTTGTGCTAATGGGAGATTTCAACTATAGACAGATTGACTGGAGCAATTTGACAGGAAATTTAGAGTCAGGTGACTTTCTTGATACGATCCAGGATTGTTTTTTAAAACAGTTTGTGACAGAGCCAACTAGGGGAAATAACCTCCTTGACTTGGTTCTTGCCAGTAGGGAAACACTAATTAATAATCTTGAGGTTAATGATGAGCTTGGGGAAAGTGATCACAAATCACTCAGTTTTAATATATCATGGAATTCCCCTAATAATGGCAATCAAGTCTCCGTCCCTGACTGAAAAATTACTTAGGTGGGCTGAACTGGAATGACCTGACTAAGGGTCAGGTAGGTGGTGATGGTTGCCGATATGATGCTTTCCAGGGCATAGTTCTAGCTGCTCAGTCAAATTATGTTCCAAATAGGGAAATCAGATCAAACAAAAATGATCCTAAATGGATGAACAATAGATTAAAATATCTGATTGGTCAAAAGAGAGGCATATATAGGCAAATCAAAAGAGGAGAGGGGCAATTGAGAAATCGATATATTCAGTTAAAGAGAGAAATAAAAAAGGGAATTAGAAAAGCAAAAAGAGATTATGAGGTTAAAGTTGCAAGAGAATCGAAGACTAACCCAAAAGGATTCTTTCAGGTATACAGAAGTAAGATCAGGGACAAGATAGGCCCACTCAAAAGTTCCTCGGGTCAGCTCACTGACAGTGATAAGGAAATGTGTAGAATTTTTAACACATACTTCCTCTCAGTTTTTACACAGGAGGATACCAGCGATATTCCAGTAATGATAAATTATGTAGAACAGGACGATAATAAACTGTGCACTATTAGGGTCACAAGTGACATGGTCCTTAGGCAAATAGATAAATTAAAACCTAACAAATCCCCAGGCCCTGATGAACTGTATGCAAGGGTTCTAAAGGAATGTAAAGAGGAGCTTAGCACACCTTTGGCTAATCTTTTCAACATATCACTACAAACTGGCATGGTGCC